AATTAAGAATACAGGATCAGTCAAAAAATTACGACAAAACAAAGTTGCTTTTTCTGTAATGGAACCCCTTGTATATTATTCCACATTTCAATATTTCTCGAAATTCTAAACAAAATTCGTATAGCACATCATGTACCTAAACTTCACCGTTCTTGAGATATCGAACTTTGAAAATAATTTTCTTATAAATTATACAAAAATATTTTAGTCTCGATTTTAGTCCATTAAGTTTGTAGTCCATCAAGTTACCTTTGAAAGTTCCTAGCTCCATAACAACCCCGCGTCGTTTTTTTGTCTAATAGTGATTATCTTGACAACACATGTCAAAAATACAGGGTGGGGCAGAATGAGCTCCCTAGTTTCAAAAAATCGCTGAAGGGTCCTCAGACCGAATAGAGGAGTGGGGCTGGTGCCGTTAGGTGGAGGGAACAATGCCGTTTTCACTTTTCAGTAGTCACCATGCTTTGTTGTGGAGACGTTCTTCAAAAACGGCGAAAGCGTTGTGGCGACGCAGAGGGCTTTTCGGGTCCGCTTTGGATTGAATCGTCACGACATCGACAGTGTTCCTGATCCTAAAACCAGGAAATGGATCCGTGATGTAAGGGCGACAGGATCTGCAGTTTCTATGAAACCAGTTGGGCGACCTAAAAGTTTGCGAACACCCGAAAACATCACGGCACTAAGAGCGTTGATTGAACATTCTCCAACGCGATCTGCGCGGAAACATGCTGCTGCGCTTCGAATGTCGTCCAGAAGTGTAAGGCGGATCTTACACTCAGATCTTCACCTGCACCCCTACAAGTTGGTGTTAGCACAGGAATTGAGCCCACAAGACTTTGTGAGACGTAGAGATGCTTGCGATGCAATCCTGACTGCTGTACCCCCCGGTAATGTTGTATGAACTAGCGACGAAGCGCATTTTCATCTCAATGGCACAGTAAACAAACAAAACTTTCGTAACTGGGCATCTGAAAACCCCCGTCGACTGCATGAAAGACCTCTTCACAGCCCCAAAGTAACAGTTTGGTGTGCTGTGTCCTCTATAGGTATTATTGGGCCTTATTTATTTAACTCAGAAGGATTGACTGTTACTGTGAATTCGGCACGCTATTGTGACATGTTGGAGAACATTTTGCGTCCCAAAATGGAAGAGTATGGCGAGGAACACGCCACAGAAGCCTTCTGGTTTCAACAAGATGGAGCCACGGCCCATACTGCCCGTCGTTCACGCGAAATTTTGCAAGAGCTCTTTCCTGGTCATCTGATCTCTGTGCGGGGGGATTTTCATTGGCCCCGCAGAAGGCCATTGAGGTCGTCATCGTTGGAATTTCGAAAGATATGCTGGGAAGAGTTACCGAAAACTTCTTCGAAAGGCTCAATATGTGCATTTCTCGCCAAAGCCGCCACTTGAACAATATCATTTTCAAAAAATAATGAAAAACAAAACGGCATTATATGTACTTTTGAGCAATACAAACTTTTTTTATGTATCCCGAACCGTTCTCTTACAATTAACCCTTAAAATCAGGGGCCTCATTCTGCCCCACCCTGTACATTGAAACGGTTGATTTAGAAATACGTTCCCGATCGGGATGCAAATCATGAAAAGTATCCACTACTCCGTCACTGCTCCGACTTCTATCACCATATCCTACGATCATTAAAACTTCAATACGCTGTCTCACGGGTAAAAATTTGTAATGGTGCATCATCCCTTATCAACCCTTTATAATGCTTTACTTGACTCCCTGTCGATTAATGCTCTTGGTACACTCACGCCGTGTACGAAATTTGGTTTTTCTAAGTTCAAGTATAACTGAGATTTTTTCGAAATTTGAAACCCCACTTTCAAAGCTGTAACTCTTTCTTTGGAATTAATCCACTTTTTTTTTTTTTTTGGCTAGTTAGCTTTTCAGTGGGGGCGTGGGTTCTTACAACAAAAATAAACAAATTAACAAAACACAAGAAAATTAAACAGATTTTAGGGCGCCAAGTGATTTCAGTAATTTCTAAGTACCCTCAATCGAAAACTTACTTTGAGAACTATAATGAGGAAACCACTAAACATTCAATATAGATTTATTATAATATGATTTGAATATTTGTACAGGGTACTTTAAATTTAAATGTATATGGACACTAGTATAGGAAGACAAAACATATAATTATATAAATACACATCTAAAAAAAAAATATGCCAAAGGANATGACATTTAGTAAAGCACGTACGCCTGAACATTATGTTTATACAATGAATAACAATATTTTGTCTAGAATTTATGACTTTAAAGATCTAGGAATTAACTTTCAACCTAATTTGAGTTTTAAAAACCATGTGAATGAATTAACTAATGCTTCATATAAACTTTTGGGTTTCATTAAAAGAGTAACAGTTGATTTTAAAAATATTAATTCTATTTTATATTTATTTAATACTCTTATTCGTAGTCGTTTAGAATATGGATCTATTATTTGGGACCCTTCAAAACAGTATCTTAGGGATGCTCTTGAAAAAATCCAAAACAAATTTATAAAGTATCTTTATTACAAAAAATATCATATTAGTCCCGGATTTGCTTCCTATGAGCCATTGCGAAAACAGTTTAAGATCTGTAAGTTAGAAAATAGAAGAATTGCCCGAAAATTAACATTTTTACATAAAGTGCTGAATGGAGGTTATGACGCTCCTTATCTATTGTCACAGATAAATTTAAATATACCTGACCACCGTATACGTCCAACACAATTAATTTTTTATGTCAGTTCTAGTACTCTTATTAGTGATATGTGTAATATTTTCAATAGACACAGACATAGAATATCTATAGACATTTTTGATACTACATTAATAACATTTAATAGAGTTATCCGTAATATAGATTTTACTTGAAATTGATTGTCCTGGTTCTATTTGCCCGGCTGCTCCCTTGCTGCAGTTTATTTTGAATTTTATTTTGTATTTTAATTAGGTAAGTTAGATAGGTATGTGCATGTTTATACATTTCTTTTTCTTTTTCCTAGAAACATGTAATTAGGTTGTTTCTAACCTGTTTGTTTCTAATATTAAAATAAAATAAAAAAAAATCAGAGGCCTCACTCTGCCCCACCCTGTACATTGAAACGGTTGATTTAGAAATACGTTCCCGATCGAGATGCAAATCATGAAAAGTATCACCATATCCTACGATCATTAAAACTTCAATACGCTCTGTCTCACGGGTAAAAATTTGTAATGGTGCATCATCCCTTATCAACCCTTTATAATGCTTCACTTGACTTCCTGTCGATTAATGCTCTTGGTACACTCACGCCGTGTACGAAATTTGGTTTTTCTAAATTCAAGTATAACTGAGATTTTTTCGAAATTTGAAACTCCACTTTCAAAGCTGTAACCCTTTCTTTGGAATTAATCCTCTTTTTTTTTGGCTAGTTAGATTTTCAGTGGGGGCGTGGGTTCTTACAACAAAAATAAACAAATTAACAAAACACAAGAAAATTAAACAGATTTTAGGGCGCCAAGTGATTTCAGTAATTTCTAAGTACCCTCAATCGAAAACTTACTTTGAGAACTATAATGAGGAAACCACTAAACATTCAATATAGATTTATTATAATATGATTTGAATATTTGTACAGGGTACTTTAAATTTAAATGTATATGGACACTAGTATAGGAAGACAAAACATATAATTATATAAATACACATCTAAAAAAAATATATGCCAAAGGACCCTTGCAAAATTGTAACCGACAACTGTTTCAAGTATGGTCGGGTAATGGAAATTCTTATGCTAAATAATCTTAAACTAATTTTATTTACAAAGGTGCCAACACTTATGGCTAATATTGATCTATCGAATCGGTGGAAAAGGAAAAAGGTTGAGTCTTCGAAACTATTAAATGCTTGGTACTTCGCCTTAAGATGTAACAGGACACGCGATGAGGTGGTACCTTTTCTGCGGGACGAGGGATGGTCGCTGGCCAACTGGAATAGTGGATTGTATTTAAATCTGCAGCGGTTTCTTTTCCGACCGATGACAAAACTCTGGCGTACAAAACTCTGGCTTATAGAACTCGCTGGGGGATTCCTCCAAAAAAAATTATCGTAGGATAAAAACTACTACCTCCCAGGTAAAACGTCTAAAAGTGTAGATAAAAACAAATAAATAACGTTGTTCTGTAATGAGTTAGGACTTGAATTATATTTTTATAGAAATTTTGTGCACGCTTACCTCCAATGCCGAATTCCCTAACAATGGAGACGTATCAGACAATTTACAAGAAAATCTGGCACGCTCTTCAACTAAAACTTACTGAAACTAAACAGCGATGCCTTTTATTGCGAATCGTGGTTTTAATCCGTGCAAATCACGTAATAATTAGCAATAGTAATTATTTTGCCGACACCCACGACAGCTAACCATTTTACAAAACTCGAACAAAAACTCCACGAGAAACGCTCTTTACTCTACGCGAAGCGACGTTTTTCGGCAACCGATAGTGTTATCTTCCTCTTTTTTAAAAATTTAAATACAAATACCTTTCCACTCTCCCATAGATGTCCCTTAGTGTCCGAAAATATTATTTATATATTTAAAAGCGCTTATTATATCAATGATATATACCAAATAAAATAAAAAGAAAGCCTATAACTTCTTTAAGGTGCAGCTTAGTATAAAGATAAGTTGAGTTAATTCACCATATTTTGGGTTTCTCTACATACCCCTGCTCTGTGTCGGTTTTTATGCGAAACACCCTGTACATATAAACCAACGTCCTAGGTCAACTCCCATTACAATTTTTCGAAAGGTTCAAAATTTTTGTTAACGATAGTCAGTTGTTCTTATGGACGCTAGTTTCAATTTTCATTCAAGAGAACGCTTACAACATTTTTCTCAACCAACCAACTTTGTACTTCCCACCGATTTCTAAGTGAATCAGGCTGTAGACGGTCGTCTTTAATTTTTTTTATTTATCGATTCTTTTTCTTTCTTTGCAGACTTCGCCGGAGGATTGAGTCGTATCGGAGAAGACAAAACGACTCTATGCCGCGCTTCGATCAGTCCTTCACAGGTCTGTGCGAACAGAACCTACAGGACACCCTGCAGCTGAAACAGCGCTACTTGGACGCCAAGGCCAAGCGGGTGCCCAAGAGCAAAGATAAGAAGCAGCAGGACTCCATTCAGAGCAGCGTGCACGTGGTGAGTTGTTTTGCATTATTAAGTCGTTTTGTTCGCCTTTTGTTACCGTTGCGGCGAACATTTGTGTTAGTTCCATTCGAGGTCCCATTACTGATCAGAGTTATAGATACGTCAGAATAATTTCTACTTCGTTCCTATTACTGGAACTAACGTGGGATTTTTCATTGAACAGACTGTAGAAAGACAACTTTTCGTGGTATTCAATACTAAAATTGGTAATCTTGAAAGAGTCAGGGAATTAAATACTGTACAAAGTAACGAGTATTGTTTTTAATATAAACAGTACCAGTGGCTTGCTTTTTAATTGGTTTGGAAAAATACATATTTGAAGTTATTTTCTGCCTCGGTGTAAGATTTGTTTTACCACTTTGTTTTTTATTTCATTAAGTTTTAAAACATATATTAATTTTATAATAATTTTCTTTTCCATTTTTTCTGTACAAAACGGTATCTCAAATTTTGCTGATAAAATGTTATTGGACAATGGGGTCATTCAGTAAATTTCCAAAGACGTTTTTATGTGTACACTAAGTATTGCTCATGATTAGGCGATCCTGAAAATTTCAACGCAATCCGTTGAGCAGTTTTCAAACTATATGATTTTTAAAATGCGAATATTTGTCTCAGCCGTGGCAATGCAATGACGTCACCGCATGGGTCGGTCAGTCGGCTTGGCTCTATTTCCAGATGAGTTTCTGGATCTACAGAATGTTTTGGCGTTTGTGCGTATTAAATTTAAAAAATAGAAGCAAATTCCGTAAAAGCAGATTCTTCTAATTTGCCAGAAGTAGATTTGTTAATGGTTATGGATTTTTTTAATAAAAACCACGACTTTATCAGTGCTGAGATGAGAGGAGTGAAAATGCAAAGGTTACATTTCAATAACGTGTAAAACTTCTTTAAAGTACGTTTGTAACGAAAGTTTTGATGTTTTTGTACAATAAGAATAATAAATAAGAATAAGGATTTTGCATTTAATTGGACGAAACCATTTATGTCATAGGTTTCAAATATTTACCTAATCAAATACAAAATTCTATTTTTATTCCCATGGAAACTACATAAAACCTTATAAATATATTAATAATATAATATTTATTATGTATTTTTATATAAATATTTAGTACCTATAGGTATTTGTATAATATTCACAAAAAAATCAACAATGGAAAACACAAGG